AAAAAAAAAAAAATAATGTGATTTCTCTCTGAAAACATTACTAGTGAGCAACATTATTATTTGAAAACAATATTGACCTAGTACTAATGACTTTGTCTGACACAAATGTAAAACTCAAATGCTATTTTTATGAGACTTTTGCATTCTACATCATCAGCAAATCACTTAGGACTCCTTTCAGTGGCCATTATGCTTAATAAACTGAGCATTTTCTTTTAGGTAAGTTCAAATAGTTACTCTTCTCAACACTCCTCAAGTTCAAATAACGTACTTTCTTTAAAAGCTAAAAAGAAAGCATTCCTCCTTTTAATAAATGAGTTTGAACTCAGAGCAGGCTACAAAGAAAAATCCCCAACACTTTGTACACTTGGTGGAGAAATGATAGGTCTAAAAGGCTTGCCCCCCAGAAGTGCAAATTCTTAATTATGTGATTTGAGAAAGGTCCTGGGCTTTTCTTGAGATTCCAACAAATTAGAGAAAGAGGAAAAAAAACAAAAACAAAAACAAAAAACAACAGAAGGCAATAGGACAATATCACCAGAAAGCTGAGCTGTACTGAATAAATTAATTGTGACAGAAGTAGGGCTAATTAGGATCAAACACAATTAGGAAAAAAAATCTCCCTTTATTTCCCCACAAAAGGAGCCAGCTTAATTTGAGCTGTTGGATTTTTGTGGAAAAGGATTTAATTGCAGTCATTGGCAAATGATGAAAGAGAAAAGAAATATTTCCATGATTAAAAAAGATATGTATCTTCACTTCGTGGAGAGCTATTCCTTAATTCTCTAGAACTTTGAAAACCTTAAAATGGTCAGCTGTTGCTAAGAGAGATCTTAAAAGTTCCCATCACGAGAAAAATATGTAACTATGTGAGGTGTTGGATGTCAATCAGAGTTTCTGTGTTAATCGTTTTGCAACATATACATCTATCAAACCATATGTCATACACCTAAAACTAATACAATGTTATGTGTCAATTGTATCTCAATAAAAATAAATAAATAAAATGGTTAGCAGTAAGAAAGAATGCATAGGAGTAAAACGAGAATTCCAGAAATAAATGCTCTGGACGGGAAAACACCAAAGTATAGAGATGGAATCTTGTGTGGATTAGTCGATGCTGTTTTCAGAAAGAAAGAGACTGCTAAATTACTTCACTCTTAAAACATCTCTCTGCAATCCATCTCTTGTCACAATTGACTCCTGAGAATTCTCTCACAATCTTTTCTGGCACTCTTCCCCCTTCTAATCAAGAGGAAAATAGCACACCATTTTATCAACACGAAACCCCTGCCCCAATCCTTTTCAGTTCTCCATGGATGTGCTGATTAAGCCAGATTCTGCTAAAACACACTTCAAGGGCTATCGTTTTTTTAATTATTATTTTTTAATGTTTATTTATTTTTGAGAGAGACAGGCATGAATGGGAGGGTGGCAGAGAGAGAGGGAGACACAGAATCCAAAGCAAGATCCAGGCTCCGAGCTGTCAGCACAGAGCCTGATGCGAGGCTTGAACCCACGAACTGTGAGATCACGACCTGAGCCAAAGATGGTCACTTAACTGACTGAGCCACCCAGGTGCCCTCAGGGGCTATCTTTTAAAAGTAAAAGCTGAACACAGGGCTTACATAAACGGGGTGAGATTTCTGTGTTTTTGAGAAGGAGCAGTAAGGTGTAATAGTTTAATTAAGGTGTAATAGTTTAATTAAGGTGTAATAATTACATTAAACAATTGAAGATTATTTTAACCACCAGGATGTAGCACTAGGATTTGTATTTGTTAGTTCACTGCTGTGTTCCCAACACCTAGATAAATGTCTCACACATAATAGGTACCCAGTGAACATTTGTTAAAGAATGATGAACAGCATATAAGTGAAAACTATATAGCAATGCAGAATTAGACTATGTAAATACAAATTTTCAACGTTTAGGATGTGCAGGGATATCCTCCGGCTTGGCTCATCGGAGGCTTCTTCCAGAACTTGGGATTCTGGAGCATGTGGAGCAAGGGCTTAGGGTGAGCTGGGGCTCAGGTTCATGCAGGTGAGGCTCAAGAAGGAGACTGTTGTTCTCTGTGTGTGTGTGTGTGTGTGTGTGTGTGTGCACGTGCAAGCGCACGTGTATGTGTGTGTATGCACACTCATCTCACGCACACACACGCACACACACACACACTTAGCCTTGGCTCTCAGTCCATTCTCAAGCTTGCTCCTCTGTCCTTCTGTCGATTCTGAGACCCAGAAGTAATTGTGTTCACTTCCTTTTTTGTGTTTTTCAGGAGCTGGTGTCTGTTGCTTACAAACAGGAATGCTAACTGGTATAATATTTAACTTATATTGTAAAAAAAAATTCAGCTCTTTGATTTTTCTCTTCATCAAAGACTCTATGTATATCGTCAAAAACGGACCAAATGAGGCCACACATCATCATCTTGTTTACAAGATGAATCCAATGTACTCACAGAATACCTAAAATTGCATTCATCATTTCAAGATGAACATAATGTATTCACAAAAAGAAACCTAAAGAAAACTAAGCAATTAAATATTACTCTCATTTACCAACACGACTGGAAAAATAAATGAAAACATTTAAAATTATTAGAGACTCAATTATCAGGTACTTAAATATTAAAACGATTGCATCATATCTCTCAACATGGGAAGGAGTACGAGACCCAAGGGTGTATTCCTATTAAAATATTTTTGGGGACACCTGGGTGGCTCAGTCGGTTAAGCGTCTGACTTTGGCTCAAGTCATAATCTCACAGTCCATGAGTTCGGCCCCGCGTGGGGCTCTGTGCCGACAGCTCAGAGCCTGGAGCCTCTTTGGATTCTGTGTCTCCCTCTCTCTCTGCCCCTCCCCCACTCACACACACACACACACACACACACACACACACACACACACACACACTCTCTCTCTCTCTCTCTCTCAAAAATAAGTAAACACTAAAAAAAAAGTTTTTAAATAAAGTAAAATATTTTCTAAAATTAAATTCCAGGGCTGCCTGGGTGTCTCGGTTGGTTAAGTGTCAGACTCTTGATCTTGGCTCAGGTCATGATCTTGCGGACTGTGAGACTGAGTCCCACGTCGGGCTCTGTGCTGACAGTAAGGAGCCAGCTTGGGACTCACTCTCTCTCTTCTCTCTCTGCCCCTCCCCTGCTTGTGTGCTCTCTCAAATAAACAAACATTTAAAAAAGTGTTTCAAATGAACTTCGGACATTAAAATTTGCACATTTAGTAGAATTTCAAATATACCCTTGAATTTATAAAAATTTTTCTTTACCTTGAGGGATCTATAGTTTTCAAAACTTTAAGGCTAGAAGTCTTCACATTTCTATGTAGTACTTGCTATAAAAGAGAAAATTCCACACAGGTCTATATCCTACAAGCATATACTTCTTTGTCACACACACACAATATACACACATACATAAAAAATATATTTACACATGTACAGATAATACATATATAATAGAAAATACGTCAATATTCACACGTACTTCTAAATGTACATTTACATCCACACTCATCTGTCTTTTTAATCCTATCTTTCCAAGCATATGAACACCTAACATTTAGAAGCTGTCCTTTCCCTTAAATGGCAGTTTTAAAAATTTCAAACAGTTTGCTTTTCTCTTTTGACTGCTACAGCTTTACAAGTAGAACAAGAGAAGACATATTTACCTGATTCTTCCAACCTTGAACCTGGTCGCTCAAATTATGAATCACAGACTCTGCTTCCTGAGCTTGCTGGAGGGCATGGCCGGAGAGGGTCCGGGAGCCACGGCAGCTGGGGTCCCCACAGGACGGAAGCACGCACGGCATGTCCCCTGGTACCCCACACACCTCACAGGAGAAATGATTTATGTTGAAAAGCAACATATTAGCAGAGTTTTTTCTAATGCCACTGGGTCACTGAGGCAAAGCACTGCTCTATGCATACGTGTTTCTTCAGCAGTGGTTCATGGATACAACCCAGTAAATGTTTCTAGGTACCTAAATATCTGAATCTTTTGTTATCAGCATTATGTCAATCAATGCCATTTTTACGCTGGGAGTTTTGGGGGAAAACAGTCAAATATCTAGCATTTCTCACTAATTTCATTTTTTTTAAATAAAAATTACCTTTTACTTATAGTAGAGTGGGAGGAGGAAATGATCATAATCTGTACCATTGTGGAAATAGCAAATAATATAAGTAAACATAAAACACTGAAATCAAGCCACAGTCTTACTCTGACTTTTCTCAAACTTTGACCTAGGATATAAAAAGCAAAATATAAATAAATGTATTTATATTGTTTCTATCTTATAGAACAGAGCGTATATATGTTATTTATATTTACACACTTATAAAACATAAATAAGAAAATAAAATGTAAGACGGGGACATACAACTGAAGAGATCTGTATACCAAGTAGAAACTACAAACACTTTCACGACACCATCATGAATATTTACCTTTTCAATCAGTATTTGGATATCCGGGACTGTAATCTGCTTTAATTTTTCCAATGACAAGTTTTCTTTTGAGCTTAGCGTATCAAACATGCTATGTAAGTCATTCCTGGTTTTTTCAGAGTTTTTTATGATAGAAGTGGTTTCAGTAACTTTCTTTTCAGCAGATGATGACCTCTGATAATGCTTCTTGATAGTCTCTGAGGGATCTATATTAATGCAAATTGAGGTCAGATAAATTTTGCAAAGACAAATCCAATTATATGCTGGTTATCAAGACCGTCCTTCCACAGTTTGACCATGGGCTTGGTCTCAAAGGTCAATACAAAAATTTGCCATCCTCTTCCTTGAATTTCCACCCACTGGGGAAGGATAAGAGATAGTGAAACAGATATCCATAGAATAGGTACACAGCACTGAGGTTGATCTTGCAGACATGGGTGTGAGTGTTGGCTTTACCTTTAACCGGTCTGAGTCTGTCCTGGAGCAAATCCGTCAACTGCTTAGATTGTGTTTGTTTGATGGTAATTTGTGAGGATTAAGTGAAATAATACCAGAACACTCCGTAAAGTATTCCGCAAATGTATTAGCTATGTATTAATTAGTACCTAACCCTGACATGAGAAACCAACCCGGTTTACCTAACCATATGGAACAGGAGTTGCCGAATTTGTCCCGGAAAGGGCCAGGGAATAAATGTTTTAGGCTTGCTGGCCACCGCGTGTCTGTCACAACTTTTCACCTCTGCCACTGTAGAGTGAAACGGCCACAAGCAATATGTCAACAAACAGGTGAGGCTGTCTCCTAACGAAACTTCACTTTGACCCCTGACGTTGAGGCCGATGGCAACGGCTCTCGTGGTGGAGTCTTTCTACGTGCCTGCACTTCCTGTCAGTGTTCTTTCTTCCTCTTCACAGAACACTGTGAGGTCGCACTGGTGTGATCATCATCTGCTGTTACAAGTGAGAAGATGAGGCTCTGATGAGGTAAGTTATTTGTCTCAGGTCTCGCTGACAGTAAGAGAGAACGTCAGGATGTGAAGCCAGGTGGTTTGATTCCAGAAACTATGTTCTTAAGCACGTCCCTGTATTTTCCATACTTACCGTAAAATACAAATTCATGAAAGGGATATGGTACGTTTTACTGCAAATGACAGTGTAGCAGGACTTGAAATTATAACTCTTTATTTTAGGAACGTTGAGGGGCTCTTGACCCCCTACACAACCATAATTTGGGCATGAGACAACCACACCTTCCTATTGCTTGAGATGCTTTTCTGCCTTTATTTCTCTGGCAAACTTTATCTTCATTTGTGAACTCCAAGTCAGAGGTCGCCTACTTCCCAGAGCCTTTCCCAGTAAACCCAGCGAGAATTAATTCTGTTCCCCCCTGCTCTGTTCCCAGCGTGGCTTGAAGATGCTGTAATACAGTCTTGTCGCTGTTTGGGGCTGCTTCCATGCCTGTCCTCCCCACTAGACCGGAGTAACTCAGGGCAAGAACTCGCCCTTCTCCCTGCCCCATCTCTACTGCCCTGCACACGGTCAGGTGTCCCGAGGAAGCTTCAGGAATTGCTGCTGGATTGTGAGCTTGAGAGGATTAACCTGGGGGCAGTGTTCTCCTATTTGGCTCCGGTGACCGCGGAGGCATTTTCTTTTTGAAATCGTACTGAAATAGAGCTCAGGGTGATTTTACTACATTTCAAAACATTCTGGGAAGGGTCCAGAAGCTTCATAAAATTGCCAGGAGTCCACAGTAGAAAAAAGGTCCAGACCGCCTTTATCTGGCATGTGCCGGACAGAGGCCGCTCCCCTGGCCGGGTCCTGGGCAGGTGACCACAAGGCACAGAGCCCTGACTCTGGGGGACACTGGGAGGGGCTGAGCAGGCTTCAGTTTCCCCTGAGATGGACACTGTCCTCACAGCCTAATCTACACTCTCTCTCTGTGTCTGCGTGTGGATTCCTAGATGCCGGTCCAGATCTTTCGTGCCATCAACGGTTCTGAGGCGGCAATCTGGATGGCGACAGTTGAAATGTCCTTTCTCCGAGTCTCACGGTTTTTCCTTTGACTCTGAGGGAAGAGCCAAGGCTTTCTGGGCATCACTGATGTCTGTGGAGGGACAAGTTGGTTTTGGAACATCAGGGTCTAGTTCTAAAGCTGGCACCCCCTCCACTCTGGGGGCAACCTCTGGGAACTCCCACAGGGCTCAGGCTTGAGGTGCTGGGGCTTGGTCTGCTTGCTTTGCAACAGGGTGAGATGATCGCGAGTTGCCTTACTTCCACAAAGCTCTGAGTTGGGAATTCCCTCACCCCCCACAGACTTCCCAACGACTCTCCCCCACCCCCGCCCTCACCAGAGTGTACGTGTCCCAGCAATCCACTGATGCATTTTCAATCCTTTCAATGGGCACCTTCTTCCAGATAGGAATCAGACCAAATCCCTTACTCTTCAGAGAGTTTATTGAGCACCATCCCTAGTTACTTCACTAAATTTAGACCTTCCATGAGGGTCATGATTCTCTTTCAGGTGGAGATCAGATGAAAACCTGGAGCATGCACGCAGGGTAAGGAGACGCTCCCGACGACTTTGCCTTGAGATGTGCTTCGTGCACGTTTTTTCTTTGCCTCTCTGTTAGGTGGGTTAGGGGAGCGGACGTTCAGGGCTGCCTCTCCCGGTGGTGACAAGTTATCTGTTTCTAGATGTAAAACGGGGATCTCATCAGAGATCAGGACATGAACTAATCCAAGTTTTGCTTTTGTGTTCCATTTTGCCTCCAAGTCAATCTTGGCTCTGGCGTGGTTCCCGTTCATTTTAACAGCATAAAATGAATTAAGGGCTTTTAGTACATTACAAGACTCCAAATCTCTACAAAGGTCTTACGAGAAACGTTCGCGGAAGTCCTTTTGGCCTCATATGCCTTTGCCTTTCTGGTTGCTGGAAATGGAGTATCACACATTGCTAGCTCTACTCATTATTTTCAGCAAATGCTACCCAAGCTCTGCCAGGTTTACAAAGTCAAAATACTCATGTGCAAATAATACCTTTAATGGGTGTGTTTTCACGTCCTAAAGTGCTCAGACACTATGGCAATGAGCACAGGGTGATTCACTAATGGACTGCACTATGGATTTCATCAACCTTTGTCTATAAACGTTGATGTGCATTTTCTCTCTTACCCATGATGTTTGCAGTATGGGCCCGGGAGCGCAAATCAATTTCTTTCCAAAGATCTTCAAGTAAGAGGTCTGCCTCGTTCTTCATTCTGACCATTGTTTCTTTCAGATCTTGAAATTCATGTACTGCTTTCAGTTGCAGACTTAGCTGCATGATTTGTTCCCTAGAGGCAAAATGAGAGTAAACGTAGCAAAGCTTGTGTTACTTTTGATAGATCAGTGAAAAACACCTAAAAATTGCCCTCATTATTAGGTAGCCTCATCGTTAGAATGCATCCCTCTTCCCTGATGTGTTGTTTGACAGCTTATAGCTCTGTTTATGGTTTACCTCTTTGTTGCCAATTCAGCTGCCTGGACTGTTTCAGCACTCACTCAAAATAAGATCAGCATACAAGGTATAGTAGAACAAAGGCTTTGAATCTTTCAATTTCAACTGTTTATACTCTTTCTGCCTCCCTTCGCTTTGGGTTTTCAAAAACAGGAATTCAGACATGTTTCATTTAAATCAATGAGATCCAATCTACATTCAGTTTTCAACACAGAAGTCCTCACCCCGCCTGCGGTAAAAACCAGTTCTATCTTTAGAATAAATCTTGCTTGCAGCCAGGTTCCTTCTAGTACCACTTCTGTACAAGGTCTCAACTTTTTTTTTTTACATTTATTTATTTGTTTTGAGGGGGGCATGCAGAGAGAGAGAGGGAGAGAGAGAGAGACAGAGAGAATCCCAAGCAGGCTCTGTGCTGTCAGTGCAGAGCCCGATGTGGGGTTCAAACTCCTGAACTGTGAGATCATGACTGAGCTGAAATCAAGACTCTATGCTTAACTGACTAAGCCACCCAAAGGTCTTAATTTTTAATTCCCATGAGTGACAAGGAGGTTTCCTTGTTGTGAGTATTCTCGGTACATTCATTCTCCTCACCTCCTTCTCAATAGCACACATCTTGGTTCCACTTCAATTACTGGGTTCAGCACACACAGTGGGTTCAAGTGAATAATTGCTATACATCCCTCGTGATCAGGAAATTCAGTGTAAATCTTGAAAAGCACAGTTGAGGAAAATTACAATATGAATCCACAGTGCTAATTTATCTCCGTGGAAGTGCCAAGCATTAGCTAATGTTTCCGAGCATTTTCTGCTCTAACTCTCCCTTCTAATTTACAGACTTTTCCTTCGGGGGCCAACTGTCAGGACTACAATTCACCAGGCTAATAATAATAATAATAATAATAATAATAATAATAATAACAGTGCAATACAACGTAAGTACTATCATAGTTTAAATTTTGAAGTTAATTATAATGCATCAGACATCGAGCTAAGTGGCTTGTCTGAGTAATTCTCACAAGAAACCTTGAAATAGAGACTGTATCCCCTTTTTGTTGATGAAGAAACAGAAGGTTGGAGAAGCTAAATAACTTGTCCACGGCCACACAGCAGTAAGTGATTTCAGTCATGGAATCTATCATGACGCCCTGGGTTCCCTGTCCTCCCTTCCCCCTTCCTTTGCAATTTGCCCAGCCTAATTCTGCTGTAGGAACTAAACCAGCCTCTGAACATCAGTTGGCAGGCCTCTGCTGCTTCCTGGGGGGTCCTCCCAGGCAATGGCCAATGGAAGTACAAAGAGGTGGAAGGATGGAGAAGGAAACGTATGTCTTTTTCTGAAGAAATCACGAAAGGCGTCCAGGAGGAGGTGGTGTTTTAAGTGGTTGCTAATCTCCAGGAATAGGAGCTCAGCAGGTGGAGCAGGAGAGGGCAGGCATGCTGGTTTCTGGCAGAAGCTGCCTCAATGCTCACTGATTTCATCACCCAGGCCTGTCTGGGACCCCTGCTTCTCTTGCTCTCTTCTGCTCTACTGGGGCGGGCTGGGGAGGGGGGGGAGGGGGGGTTCTCTTGTAGTCTCTGTTCAGCATGTGTAATCGTGGGATTGGTTCATTCTGCTTTCTCAGTTCCACTTCGTTTGCCATTTGCTATAACCACAAACCGGTGGTCCGTGGGCAAAGCGCATTCTCAAGACACATTTATTTGGCCTATACGGTACTTTTTATTTATTATTATTATTTAATGTTTATTTATTTTTGAGACAGAGCATGAGCAGGGGAGGGGCAGAGATAGAGAGGGAGACACAGAATCTGAAACAGGCTCCAGGCTCTGAGCTGTCAGCACAGAGCCCAACGCGGGGCTTGAACTCACGGACTGTGAGATCATGATCTTATTTCTAAATGCAGCCACTTAACCGACTGAGCCAACCAGGCGCCCCTATACGGTGTTGGGTGAGCTGGCTATATTTTAAAGTGGGTACATGTCCATAAAAATCTGGATGTCTGACATCTCTTAAAAAGTGGGAAGATCTGGGGACCCAGGGCCCTAATCCCGTGGGACAACGGTCCTTACAAGACTCTGGATGTGCCGGTTCTCACCTGCCAGCTTGACCTGGCCACATGACTTCCCTGGGCCCCTTAGCTGCATGGCCCTTCCTCTGAACTGTCTGGGGGGACTGTATCTTCTTCCTTCTGCAACTTTGTTTTGAGAGAGAGAGTGCACATGCACATGCGCGTGTGTGAGTGGGGGAGGGGCAGAGAGAGAGGGAGAGCAAAACTCCTGCAAACCCCGAGCAAGTTCCACACTGTCAGCACAGAGCCGGACGTGGAGCGGAGCTCAATCCCACAAATGGTGAGATCGGTGAGATCGTGACCTGAGCTGGATACTTAACAGACGGAGCCACCCAGGCGCCTGCCCTCTTCCCTGTGTTAACTTTTAAGCAATTACCATCTACCTCTGGGATTTGTGCCTGGTGATAATGAATGGCCTTTTACTTCCACCTGTGTTTTATATAACACAAAACTCTTCAGCTTCAACTCTTCCTCAATCCAGGACCTTCTGTGGGGGGCGGGGGACAGTTTGCTATATAAGCACAATCCTTTTGGTTTCTTAGTAGACTATATGCTCAGGAAAGGGCGGAAACTATATCCAATGCCTCCCCGGTTTTGCCCAGAGCACTTGGCAAACTTTTTTCTGCAAAGGTCCAGATAGTAAACATTTTAAGCCTTGGGGGCCATTAGTCTCTGTCACAACTACTCTACTCTGCCATGGTCCTGGGAAAGCAGCCACAGAGGATATGGCGACAAATGGACTCGGGTGCGTTCCAGTGAAACTTCATTTACACAACTAGGGGATATGTCGGATTTTGCCTGCGGTTTGCTGACCCCTGGCCCATAATTTCCGGAAATGTTTGACGAATGAAAAAAAGGAATCAATGACATCTAATAAAAATGACGATGCATTTGGAGGAAATTGTCATACTTATTACAGGACTTTGCATTAATGTAGGTGTTTCTCAACAACTGAAGAATTTGGGAAGATTTAGCAAATCTTCCCATGTGCATGACTGAAAAAAATATATTTGTATTATAAACTACCCTATTGCCAATTTTGCATCTTTCAGCTCTGCTGGGTTTGGGCTTTCCCAAAGCAAGCTCTTAACGATTGCCTTTTTGTTATAATCAATGGCATCTGGAAAGATCACGTGTAATCCTAACTAGGTAAGAAAGAGACAGACAGCCATGATCGCCAGCCTGGTTATTAACTGAATTATTTCTCTAGCATCCACATAGGTATGTTTCTCAGCTGAAAGCTGTTGAAGTTCAAAAGGAGTTCAGGTAAATCGGGAACTTGGCTATCTATTGCTTATGCACAAATCTTACCGAACAGAGTCTTGATAATCCTTGGCTTTTAAGAATTCCCCAGATGAGAAAACAGGATGTTTTAAAATCCTTTCTATTTCAGACATGTTCTCTCTGAGGCCTTTGAAGTCGGCCTCACAGACAAGCAGGGTCTCTGTTTTATCTTCCGTGTTAGCAGCCAGCCCAATTAACCCTTGCACTGCTTTGGAGAGGGAAGCAGCAGCACGGTCCCACTGATCAAAGCACCGGTGACACGGAAGACAGGCAGGGAATTCCTGGCCGTGACCCCGGGCACAGCGATCGCAGCGAGGGCCGCTCACACCCTCCCGACAGCGGCACCTGCCTGTGTTCTGGTCACAGACGGGCTTCTGGGTACCTTCTGTGTTGCAGTCACATGCTAAAACACAAGAGAGAAGGAGCAGAGAATGTCAGTCCCTTGACCTTTTGTTTAGGACTAGCTCAAGAATAAAGTACACTCCTCTCTCCCGAGAATGTCCCCAGTTCCCATTTCTTTTATTTATTTATTTATTTATTTATTTATTTATTTATTTATTTATTGAGAGCATGCACGCATG